GTTTTCTCAGTTTGTGCTGCTTGCATTAACTTTAACCCAACCAAAGCCTATTTTCTGGGCGTGTGTCATTTCAGAGTTCAATGAGGACCTTCCAAAAAATGAACTACCATTAGCAAACCTCTTCCTCAACATTTGCTGCATGCGAGAAGGATACAAGATATATTTCCATCTCGACATAAAATAGAAGAATAAAGCCCAAACTTAAGGCTTTTCTTCTCTGTTGTTTCTGCATCTAATCACAAATCAACTGTATTTGAACTAAGTGGCACCCCTTCATCCTCAAGTCCACTGTTTTGTGTCCAGTTCAGACTTGTTCATATTTGCTTGCAGATTCCTTTCTCTTGATCCCAGCAGGTATTTGGGAACAAGCTGTGCCATTTACAGTGACATTGTACAGTGCCAGTTTCATCTGCAGGTTTGAACAGATGTGCCACTCAGATCAACAAACGCACAGACCTCATGCATGCTCTCATTCATTTTTGGGATGAGATCGATGGCTGCATGTCATGCCATTTCACATTTCCGTTAAGTTTCTGTGCCTGAACATGATCATTTGTTACATAAGAGGATGTGTTGAAAAAGTCTTGGCACATATTCAAGCCTTTTCTCTGGTTTCTGCTGTGCTGAATGCATATAACATCAAAATAAGCATTTGCACCTGCTGAGTTTGATAACCTCTTTATGTCTGTCAAACTCAGCAGGACTTTTCCTTTGAAGTTTAGAGCAGAGGCCAGTAGGGGACACCATTCACCCCCTTCACTGACCAACATCCGTCCTCTGACCCCTCTGTGGACAGATATGTGCTGCACTAACTTGCAGCTGTGTTTTCTTAGTTGGAGAGTTAAATAAACTATATGCCTCATGAAAAAAAAGATGTGGAAATGAGACTTCATAAAAGAGAAAAACTTGATTTATAAGACTGAAATGAATGCATTGTGTCTGACTTTTGCAAAAATGTCCAAACATGGTTTCAACAAATTGTCTTAAAATATCCAGAGTGAAAATGTACATTTCCTTCGTGTTTTGCATATATTTGGAACATTTTATTATGACACTACTTAGAAAATAAAAACCGTGTTCCTTTTCAAAGTTGTTTAAATAATAAACAGTTTGTCAGTGTGTAGTTTAACCTCAGTTAAGAGTGTTTTCACACCTGATAGTCGGGTATGCTACAGAGTGTGAAAACTATTAGGACAAGATTGAGGACCAAAATTGCAACATTTCTTTCATTTTGAGCTAGTGCCATTCACCTTTACTTGCACTATGTCAAACGAACTGAACCCTTTGAAAAAACATGTTCCCCCCTCCCTTGCTTGTGTGGGCGTTGTACCAAGAACCTTTGAAGGTAGTGACACGAAAACCTCTGAAGAAGACAATGAGTTAAACTTTCTTCACAAAATGCTAAATAAAATATGAAATGGTGTCAGAAAACAGCAATTGTAACATTTCTCTTTTGTAGTTGGTACAAGATCATGACACATTTCTTCTGCTAGTGCTAGACTTACATGCTTGCTTTGGTTGTATTTACCCAGAAATCTGTGCACTTTCGAAGCGGTCTCTGGTCACCTTGGTGTTCACGTTTCCATTCAAATCAGAAGAGTTCACTTCAACCAAATTAAGAATTAGGCTTACCAGCTTTGTTGATCTGCATCAGAGTTTGATGGCTCAATCACACCTCACCAAATGAACGACAAATTCAAGGCAAACAAACTGGAGTTAAATTAAACCTGGCTGGTGTGAATGCACCGTAAATCTGTTCTGTGAATCCCCCAGAGACAAAAGAACAGCAAATGAGATGAGGATAAAGTTGTTCAGAATATCATAAATCATAACCTTGATAACTCTGCAGTAGGGCAGAGTTCTCTGGTTCAGGTTGGAGGCTCTATCAACATGATTTTTAGCTTATTGTGCAAGAGTGGGGAGACTGTTTAAATGTTGCAAAAAGCTTAAACAAACATGGAAAAGGAGGTACTTTGGCCACATTTAAACCTTTAGGTCCAATCGCATCATCTGATGTGAGGAGGAAAACTAAAACCAACATCTTAAGCACTCCAAAGTGAACCATCTTGAGGAAGTGTAGTGGAGACACTTTCCTTCATGAGGGGCAAGGAAGCTGTTCAGAAATAATGGGAAGATGGAGGGAGTTAAATGCAGGGCAAAAAATCTGTTAGAGGTTGTGAAACAGGGCACAGGTTCATTCTCCTGATGGACAGTGACCCAGAACATGCAGCAACAGCGATAAATTGTTCAGATCAAATCATATCCAGATATGAGAATTGTCAGACCAAATTTCAATTGAGATTTTGACCTAAAAATATCCAATATGACTGGGATCAGTCTGCATAGATTGCAAGAAGTAGAAGTATTTACAATAAAGGGTTGTTCTTAAAAAAAGAAAAAAAAATCGATTTAACGCTTTACATTTTTATCAAAAGTTTTGAAACCAGTCATCTTCTGCTTTTCAACAATGTCAAAAAATGTTGTGTATCAGATAAAAATACTCCCTGAAAATATTATTGACATTGACAATGTGTGAAAAGTTTCAAGGTTCAGAATACTTTTGCAGGATGCTTTTGTGAACTGTATCCCATTTACAAAGTAGGACACTTTTGTAAATAGGATACAGACCTTTTGACGTTTAGGACTTCAAAGGTTATTTGTGCTGCTGTACAAGAGCAATTTGCATTTGTTCTGTAGTAAAATTAATTTGAGGAACTGCTGATATAAAACTACAAACTGTGGGCAGATTTAAAAAAAAGTGGATTTTTTTTCATAGATTCTTCTAAGAAAAATCATTTCACAAGATCATGAAAAACATGTTTACAGTTTTTTTTTGTGTGAAGGGGCACTTGATTCAAAGTGAAAGAATGACTAACACAATGACCAGCTGTTTTCACTCATGAAATCACTGCCTTTAGGGAAGCTGTGTTTATTTTCTGGCAGATGGAGTGAAACTTCGAGAGTAAGCTCCCAGTTGTTTTGAGGATTACTCATGAAAGGTAAAAACAAGAAAACCACAATTGGTCTGCTTGTTCAGCACTTCTGCTCGCTCTGTTCCTATAGCGTGTCTGCACTTTGAGAACTGCCCAGCAACAATCCGGGAAGAAAAAAAAAAAAAAAAACAGCACAAAATAAGCAGGTGGTAACTAGCCCATGACTGCTAGTAACCTCTCCTAAAACATCCCCATGGTGCTTTTGCCTCATTTTGAAATCTCTTTCTTCACTTCATTTTTCAGTGCTCTTTAGTGCTGGCACACAACAATGGTCTCCACGGGAGCCTGGGCAAAACACAAAAACAGGCCTTTCCTAGGCTCATAATTGCGAATTAGAAGCACGGAAGGCCTCCACTTTAACACCCAATGCCTCCTAGGCCTCCACTTTAACACCCAATGCCTCCTACAATTATTCAAGAGGGGCTCGTATGCACGCAAGGTCAGGACCCATACTTTAACCTAATTGGCCTCTTCTGAACAAAAGATGAGAATTTGGGATTTCAGGACCTTAATCTTAATGCCAATGCCTAAATTGTGGGCTTTTCAACATAACAATAGGACTGCCTGGTTGCAGTGATTAGCAATAGATTGACCATTGTAGTCTAAGTCAAGATTGTTCATTTGATTTGCCATGTATGATAAAAAGCTTTAATTGTGGGTTACTGCAGTGCATTGACTGAGCATCTCTTTGGCGTCACAAGCTGGCTGGAAGAATCAGCCACATGTGGTTCTGTCTTGGTCATTTCCTTTTTTAAAAAAAGGAAGGTGTACACAAACCAGACAGTGGGTGTTGTATTGACATTTCTAATTCGAGAGGGAAATGAAAAACTAACAAAGCAACAAAAAATGGGTTACAGGTCATTTTCCCCCTTCACCAATTTATAAGCCCATTCATAGATATGCGTAAAAATTTAGACACTTCCAAATTCATAAACGTGAGAGAAAATTTGAAAGTTATCTCCATAATTTTTTAAAAATTATGGAATAAATGGCCATAAAAAATACCCAATCACAAGTAATTTTATTTAGCTGTATAATATTATCATTTCATGCATTCTGCACATTTGATATAGTTTATAGTTTTGTATAGATGCAACTTGAAAAGGATAATTTCACAAACACAAGCCAAAGGATTGATCACAAAATTGCCAAACGTACCAAAAGCAAGCACTAAATGTTTTACTGCCTGATGTCACCACACACAGGTCTACCACAGCAACTGCAACATTTTTTATATGGATGCCAGCCTTTCTAAATGTTTTACATTTGTAATGAAAGAGCAAATACTAAGTTAGTGTCAAAATAACTATTTTTACTTGGACATCGCCTTAGAACCTTTCAGTTTATACTTAACTTTTAGTCAATTGCAATCTGCATGCGTAAAAGAAACCAAGGTTAGCGCTATCTCAGGGACCCATGTCCTCTTATATTGAGCTGTGGGGCTAAACAGTCTCTCAAATGAAAAAGAATCACTCTTGGAATCGGCATAGTACTTCGAGGTTGTCAGTTGGGAGGTGCATAAAAGGCACAAACAGTGTAATATAACAAAACTATTAAAGTCCAGTTGCCTTCCAACACAGACTTGTCAGGTCATTACGTGGAGTTTTTTTCTTTTGACAGAGTTAACTCTTGGCCAACTATCTAGGTCCAAAGTAGCTTACACATAGCTCATGTCTGTATTTCCGTCAGCAGTGAACTCTGCTGTCTGTCTACATCACCTCCATACTTATCTGTTCAAACCACTGTTTTGCTGAAGGTTCAGATGAGAATTTTACTCCCTTTTCTACTAATTTTCCCCTTAATCACAAGACATTATTTGTTAATTAAGCTCAACATTTCATCAATATGCACCAGTTGTGCATCCTTTAATTTACAATAGGCCTGTTTCATCAGTAAGCTTTTGTAATGCAATTAGATGAGTGCAGATCAATAAAATGGGCAGGGATTCCTCAAGGCCGTCGCATCTACGTGTTGACCTAAATCTGGTGTTTTGCATAACACTCTTGAAACGGGGAAGGGTTATAAAAAGCAGGCACACTCTGACCATCCACGACACACCATTTTTTTTCTACACAGAGACGGAAAAGAGGTATGCTTTACACTTTATCACTTCAAAAAATTACGTTTTTGTAACTGTGTGCTGAACAAACAATAAGTAAAAAAGGTAAAGAGAAAAACAACTAAATAATGAACGTTTTGTTTTTTGGAAAATTCTGCACTTCTTCGAAAGCTAAACTTTAATTGTGTATTAAATAAAGTGAAAAACAATCTATTTTAATGTTTTTCAAAGAACATCTGTGCTTGCAATTTAATGCAAATTCATAATTTTTCTGATTTCTAACCTTAGGAAAAGAAGTCAAGATGAAACTGTATCTTGCAGCTGCCGTGCTGTTGCTGGCTCTTGTCGCACACAGGTTCTTCTTAGTGTTTTATACAGAAAAGTCTTGCATGTTTCTTTCTGCTATTATCTCATTGTCCTTGTTTTTTCACTGACTTTCAGAGGCTCAGGATGACTCATTTGCAGAAAGGTCTCAAACTTTGGGGATCAGATCACAGAGTTCGGCAAGAATGTAGCTGAAAAAGCCAAGACCCATTTTGACGCCATTGCAACCAGTGATTTTGCAGAGAGCACCAGGTAGACTGATACACATAAAACGCATGTAAGTTCTTTCTTGTTAAGTACATGACTCACATTTTATTTTGAACCTCCACAGGAATTGGTTCACAGAGAAATTCCAGCAGTTTAAAGACAAGGTACAAGAAATGAACCAATGAACTGGTGGCCCAGTCAATGACCTCCCCTCTGTTCCCAACGCCCACGCTGACAGATGACTTGCTTCTACACCATCTCAAGGCTGAAGTCACGTCGCTCAACAAAATGGATGAATTTGCCAATTCTTAGCCTGTGATCTTTCTTTGGGAAAACTGTGTAAAACTGCAATAAAATACATGGAATGGAATAAAATGTTCTATCAATATATTTCTGTACAAATAAAATGAGAACTTCTAAACAGACAACAAGGACCTTGTGGATTTTGTTTCTTCAGATTTAACTGAGTTATTAAGAGCAGGCAGAACAAAGTGTGCTGTCCAAGTCGCCTAATAACAAAAGTTTAGATTATGTCAGTAGACAAATGACACTTTGAACTAAAATAAGCAGATTGGTTGCTTCTGCATTGCTGCAGTGAAATATAAAAAAGGACACATTTAAAGAGTTTAGTTTAAAAAAAAAACATAGTTCTAAGAAGACAAGGAGACAAATAGAAAAACACTGAATGAGATAAGAAACAGTGACCAAATATTTTCTCTCGGAAATGTTGATCACTTAGTGTGAATTCGCCGGAGGAATGACAACATTTCTGAATTTGTGAAAGAAAGCCATATTCTAATTCTGACATTCTGATGTCCATTTGCATTTTGCCATTGACTACTAGAAAATTAGCAAATTCAAATGTAATTTTTTTTAACTGCATGTAAAACGATACAAGTACGAATACCCAGAGTATAATATCTCTACCATGAAATGCATTTTTTCAACCGACCAGCAACATAGTCAAAGATCATGGGTGGATGGATTGGGGAGCAGGATGGGTGGAGGAGTCACTTTCCAGCAATTACCCTCATCATACAGCCAAAGTTACAACTGAATAGTTTAGACCAATAATTGTGGTTCTCAGGATTCACTGTCCTGCATGTTTCAGGTGTTTCCTTGCTGCAGTGAATAACATAGTAATGCAGTAGTTAATGACATTCTGATAAGGTAATACAGTTATTTGACTCAGATGTGCCAGAGAACAAAGATGCTCAAAACCCACTGGGTCCTTAGGACCAAGACTGAAAACCACTGGATCAGACTAAGGCCTCGGTGTGTGTTCCAGCAGCCTAATATGAGTCTAAGTCTAAATTTAATTGAAAATATGTATCACCAAGATGGCACCAGCTGTGCTTCAAATCTCGCAATACATAATGCACAATATCCTGCCATATCAAACACCTCTGATATCAAACCTATCTAATAGATAACGGTTCATTTCTGTTGGTTGTAAGGACCAAAGGGCAAACGCCAACATGGTAGCTTTTTGGGCATTTCATAATGTTCCTGGTATAAAGTCACTGTTTATGATGTGTTAATAATTCACCATCCAGGTTCAATGAAATCTTTTTTGCTGAAGAGAACAGTGGCATAGGTCAGTCGCTTGTACACAAAGGCATAAGATAATACATTTCTAGGTTTATTTAGCATCTATCTTACCTGATCTGAAGGGATGCTGGGCCTAATGATGGAGTCATTAGGGAAGGGTTTAAAACTCTTAATTGTGCTAGATGGCTGAGATACAGATTTTTACGTATTCTGCTCTACTAGGAAATAACCTTTCAGACAGAATTGCTTCCATTAGAGAAAGTGAGGTGAAAGTCCATGTATCTACTAAAAACTCAAATCAATATGAGGTGGACTCTGGCCCCTGCACGATCTTTTTGAACCCGTCTTAACTAAAAACACGTATCTCTGCTTTGGAGACTTTGCCTGGTTTGTACACATTTCAGTACTCGCTAAATGGGATGAGATATGAAAGCCAAAGGGTGCATCTACAGCGAACGTAGGCCCGAAAGAAGATGGCAGCAGTTCAGAACCCGTAAATTTACAAAATAACCATTTTGCAAATCTTTGATGACACAACAATTTGCAATGTAATATAAGTACACAACATTAACACAAAATGTGATACTTGAAAGATTAAACTAGATGGTTCCAAAAGTATTTTGAGTTTTAAGCTTTTTAAATCCCCAGCATTGGCAGCTACTTCAAATGTCTTTGCATTGCACGTGTTTGTAGTCTTTGCTTTTATGAGGGAACAAACAGTAGGAGTCAGATTGAAAAAATAAACCTATTCACTGGAACAGGTTCAGACATGTTGCTTTGCTGTCACTCTGTGATTTGGCAATAAAATATTGAAGCACAAAAAAAAGAAAACAAGCGCAGGATCAATGATCTTGCGGCAAGGACCAATGTTCGCACTCTTGCACCAACCTAAATCAAATACAGCAGGCTGATAAGATTTGACTCGCTTAATTTCTGTTGATGAAAGACGGGAAAAATGGTAAAAACAGCTTTTTGTTTGTAATTGTGTTAGTTTTAATGTAAAAACCTGAGACATGTAAAACCTTCTTTTTTTGTTGAACCAGTCAGGAAAAGTTATTGTGATATTCTGATGGTATTAGCAAAAGACAAACTGACTGCTGGTTGTGTTTCTCTCTTTTTTTTTCAGCACTTGCGATTTCAGAAAATCTCCCTTCTGTTGTTTCTCTTGCAAGGTACATCTTAAAAAAAAATCACACAAAATTCTCGTTATCAATGTTTTTATTTATGACATTGAGTTTGAGTTAATTTACTTCACTTGAATTGATTCACCTGCAGCATGGAAGTCAACTTCGGCACAGACAACTGCACCTGAGCAACCAGACCCAGAGGAATACTGGAGAGGCTGGCAGACAGAGCTGGGTGATTTATTGATGTTTTTGCTTTTTTAAATTTGTGGAGGCAACCTGAAGCACTTAGGTCACCGAATAATATCAATCCTATTTTTGAGTGGCTCAGTTTAAATCACAGTAGCTTGAAAAGATCATATATTTGTCACAGATTTCTTCTGCTTTTATCACTCTTAAATGTTTCAGATCGAAATAAAAATTTTACAAATCACACCAGAATAACTAAAGTTCACACAGACAAAAAAGAGATGACAAATACATTTCTTAAGAAAATAAGAATCAAATCAAAAATGATTCCATTGTGAAAAAATAAATCTAAAACTGGTTATGTCATGCTTGACCTCAAAAACTCCCTTCAAGTATTTCTGATGAATAGCATGAGTTTTTTAGGTTACAATGGTGGTGTCATTTGTCATTTATCAATCTCAAGTGATCTGGACATATTTTATTGTGCTCTTGTATAATCTTGGTAGGTGGACCACTTCTCAGAAGGTGCTCTGCCTTCCCATGTCCCATTTTTCCCCTTTATTTCCCTTTGACACCCTTTCTGGATTGAAAGAATCAGGGGCTTTATTTCCTCCTTTGTGTTTTTTTTTTAAGTGAGTTTTTTTTTTAGATCTTGCTGACTACTTATCAAGATATAAAAAAAATTAAGGTTGTAATTAAGAAGTTTTCTAATTCTACAGGTTTGATAATTAATCAGGCTCAAAACATACCTGATAAATTGAATTCAGATGTCAAAAACTGAAGTTAATCACAGCTGATTCATATGTAAGAATGGGTAGAAGGTGTTACATAGAACCAAGTTGCTTGCAATGTTTTTATCTTTGCATAAATTAAATTGATATTTTAGTCGTCTTTTATGGTCACTCATTTCACCTTTGTCCAATATCAGTTTCTGTAAATAAATGTGACAAAAAAACAAACAAACAAAAACATGGAAGAAGTGTTTAAGAAAAAACCTCTAAAACAAATACTTTGGTGTTTTAGCTGCATTTTGACAAAGCATTGAATCATCTTTACTGGCATATTTCTGTGTGCATTTAAAAATGTACATTTTGATCTGTGTACAGGCAAGCCAAAGCTCGAATCCAGTCCATTGGAGAGACCGTGCTTGGCTTCGCAAGCGCTTATTACGAAGACCACATACAACCAGTGGCTGGAGGCTATGTTAAGTGGGCCTCTAAAATAAGAAGTTCGCTATGGGAGAAGTTCCAGAAAGCCTCTGACAACTACGTGCCACCTACTCATCAAGCACCTGAAAATTAAAGAAACAGAAAAAAAAATTGCTTTATCAGTTTTTACTTTCACTACTTCACTTTTAATTTCCTGCTGATGAATGAAAAGAATGATGACATAATCAAATAAAATGTAATTAAAACAACTTTGCTTCTTAAGTGAACTCTATTGTGGAAGGTTGGAGAAAGTGGTGAATTTAAATGACTTAATGGGATTTTATTTGACCTAAACGATACATAATTGTGAAGCAGAAGGAAATGATACGAGTTTAACAAAATAAAAAAAATCAAGTGATACAATTTTATTAATTTTCTTCTAGTCCAAGTAAATGCAAGTGAATATGCAAAAATAAGTCCACTTCTGTGCAATTTCATTTCAGCATAAATCACTTGGCCTCAAAATGTAATGTCAAAGCAACAAAGTAGTGTCTAAAGAAGAGACTTCAAAGTATAACTGATGGAGAGAACTGAAACTTTGAGTTACTGAATCTCAGCCAGGGATGTAACTTAGAGACTTCTGTAACACAGAAAAGGACAAAACCCCAACTTTTGGCTGCTTTAAGATTCCACTGAAATTAAAAAAAAAAAAAAAAACAAACAAAAAAACCTTACCTTCTGCAAGATATCGACTGCACACAGCTGCGCTATTAAACCATACTTCAAAACATCAAAACATTTTGAGAAATCCTTTGCTAATAGATGGTGAGTGATTGAGTCTTATTCAGATGGCCATCCAAATGCTAGAAAGGATGCACAAAGAGGTAAAAAATAAAAACAAAAGCAATCATGGACATGTCATATATCACCTTCCAAGCTGTTTGTTTTAAATTAACAGGTTCAAAGGTGAAGTCTTGGGGTTCAACACAATTTGTCCAGACAGGTCAGGAATGACAGACCACATTTCCTCCAATTTTACGAACCGACAGACTTGCTGACTGGAAAATGCTGATCTAATCAGCATTATCTTCTTTCACTGAAGGTAATGGGCCGATTTAACGATTTCTGCTTGTTTTTTTCCACAAAGCACCATCTTTTTTCTAAAGACACAGTTTCTTCAATATCAGCAGTGTTCCCTTTGCATCTTACCATCTGAATGCAGATAAACGTGCATCTCAGAAACATTGCACAACCACAATTCCACATGCAGCCCGGACGGCCATGTAAACTGGACTTTGTAGGTGGATGCCTTTGAGTGTGTGTGTGTGTTTGCGTGAGCGGATACAAGCGTGTGTGTAATATCACCAGATGACGTTTGTTTGCAGTCCCCCCTATATCATCCCCAGATGTGAGCTGTGGTTTACAGACAACTCGCCTCCAGAGAAGACTGTCACGTCTTGGATCTGTACATCCAGCAACCACAGTAGGTGCTCAGCTCTTGTTAATGAGCATAACTCTCACTTCTTTGAAGCATATTTGACTTTTGCCCAAAAGAAGTGAGCAAAACTTTTCAGAAAATATATTTGTATCTTTCTATTTATTTAAAAGTTTGTATTTTTTTTTTTGTTTGTCTCTCTTATTTCAGAGATGAACACAAAATTGATCCTCGCACTTGTCTTCGCTCTTCAGGGTAAGGCAACATGCAAACGCCATCTGAATAATTATGCATGAAGTAGATGAAAAGTAAAATCTAATGATGAAAGAACCACAGATATTCCCTGATATTTCTGTAGCATGCTGAAAATGTTGCTTTGCAAGATTTATGCAGAGAAATATTGAAAAGTTTCTTTGAACAATTTGGGATTTACTTCTTTTATTCATTGTCAAATCATAGTTAATCTCTTTTTGCTTTATTTTAGTCTCCATGAGCCTGAGTGAGGTTCCTGCACCAAGCCAGGAACTTGTCGACAAGTATGAGAACATGAAAGCTACTTTCTACAAGAGACTGGTCAATGCTTATGGCAGGCTGCAGGGTGCCGTTGGAGACACTGACCAAGCACAGACCACCAGGGATTTCATTGAGTCTCTGAGAGACAAGCCTGAACTGCAAGCAGCTGCCAAAGTTGCAAAGTCAGTGGACTATAACAGTTTCAATTTGAAGAAAGCATTGATGTCAAATTTTTCTTGTGCTTAGTTCAACCATTATATCTTGTTGAACATCAGAAGAATCTGTCAACTTTTGCTAACAGCAAGTAAAGGTTTTCTATGTGACAAGTACACTTTGTTTTTTTTTTTTTTTTGCAGGGGTTTGGGCTCAGAAGCAGCTCCAGTGGTGGACAGCGCTCGCTCATCTGCTTTTGTACGAACAATACCTGCGCCCCCATGTCGGAAACAGCTTGAGCGAAGCCATCGACCAGATCAAGGTCTACCTGGATCAATACATGCCCGCTGAGTAAAACAATAACAATAATAATAATTCAAAAAGAACCAGCTAGAGTGGAAGTGCTTGTCAGATGCCTGTAATAGATGATAGCTGATAGAATTACACCGGTTTAGCCTGAGAGGAGCAATACTCAATGCAAACACAATTCTTTTGCCTGTTTCTAAATCAACGTCTTTGCCAGATCATGCAGAGTTACAAGCATGGCAAACATGTCACCATGTTCGCAAGTTCTGCATGTAGAGTACTATATGTCTGATACACTAACAGTGTCTGTGTGACTGTGTACGTATGTGTGTGCGTGTTCAATAAAACGTACTAAAAACTATGAAACGTGTCCAGAAATCCCTTCATTAAAGAATCACTTGAACAGAAACAATGATGCAGATTTATTTTGTTACATTCATTTGGTTACTACCTAAAAATCATTCATTGTCATGTTTAATTATAGGAATATTTATCAGTCCTCACTTCAGTTCAGCCAATTAATTCCTATTTTACAAAAATGAGTATCTTTTCCTGTATTTTAAATGTAAGCATGGTGTACTACTTGTTAGCAAGATGAGACTCCAGGAAGAACATTTACAGCTTTATTTTGTGCACAGAACATTTGAGCCTCCAATTCATAAGGTTGCATACATATTACAAGTGACTGCTTAAAAGCTGCATGTGCTGATCCAGCACTTCAAATATCTATTTGCATCTAGAGATGCATCTAGCATTACAATGTGGTGCTAGTTTTATGATAGCATATTGTGCAACAGCCTGGGGAGGATTTGTGGCTTTTTACCTAATTTAGGACAAACAACAGATGGACACAGCTTTTAAATTGAATTGAAACAAACAAAAAGTTCCTATTTTTCAATTACGCAGCACGTTTCATGCAAAAAACTAACAGCAGACAGGGCCGAACACGATGCAGGCTTATAGTGACAGAACAAGTATGCAGCTTTAGTGTTTCTCCTCAGCAGGACTGGATGATACCCAGAGCTTCGCTGACATTTTGAACCCTGCAGCTGGACACAAACTGCCCTGAGCGACATGACATGTGAGTCTGAATCACATGATCGGCTCCATGTAGGTGTTACAGAGAAGACTCAAATGTTAACTTCAGCTTGTAGTTTACAAAATTATTATTACACACAATTTCACCTTAAACTGAGTAAAACTGTATTCATAGTGAAAGCATGCATTTTTTGTTGTTGAAAATGCTCTTTATCTTAAGCTCAACCCACTTTTAAAGTGTTGTGTTTATTTTTATAATTGAGTAAAACATCCATAATTGTGGAAAGATTATATGTTTTCAATTCTTCATTTTTAAAAAATTCAAACTTAAAAAGAGTAACACAAATTTATATTCAGCACATTTTTACTTTTTAACCACTTAAATGATATCCTGCACAAGCAACTGCCATCAGAGGTCACATAATTTGTATAAAGGTACCCATCTGTGATACAATCACAGTACAGCTGTTTTGTGTAGAACTCAGAGAATGAATTTAATCAATGAACAAGCGGCATCACGAACACCAAGGAAAACAGCAAACAGGCTGAGGATAAAGTCAAGAAAGTGTTGACAGACTGGCTAAATTATTGAAGAAAAGCTAACGGAACTTCCTCCATAATTTTCTTCTATCCTTGTAGGGGACATTGCCTGTGGTCGGAGGTATTTGGGTGAGTATTTTAACACACCATCAACATGCCAAGTTTACCATAAAACATGGTTGTCACCGTATATTACTGTGGGGAAGTATTAAACCACGGGTCTGAATACTTACGTAATGACTGTGTGAGTGGCACTTTGTAAAATAAATATTAAAAGTACGCTCTACCTTTTGTTGTGACCTATCTAAATTCCAAAGAGATACACCACATTTCTATTCTTGGGTTGGAAATCAATTGATCACAGTGGAATCTGAGACGCCTGTGAGAGGGATATGAATACTTTTCAATGTGCCAGTTTAAGGAGACAGAAATGTGTAAAATATCAGCTGTGACTACTATTTTATCTGCATCATATGTTTTAGATGCAGCCAGCTGACAAGAATATCAGTCAGCAGATACGCTTTTATTGATAATAAAGTGCATCAATGGAGTATCTCTTTGAGACAAGGACCAATTATGCCATATTAAATTGTGTTTAACGCATCAGTGACATATGTATGCAGGACAGGAAAACAACTGTATCTGACCCACCACTGTATTCTTGTTGACACGTCATCGTACTGTAAAACTGAGTTTGCGTTTCAATGCATTGCCTTTCCCCGCCTGGGACTGATCCTAGTTTTGAGCTTGTGTTCGCTTCCTTTATCTCTTGAAATGAAGAGAAGAATTCAGCTGACTCATATGTCCCTTAATTAAACAAATGTTTACATTTTCTTGACACTTCTATGCGTACAGCTGTGACCATGGCAGACAGACTTCTGTAATTTAATGTTTTGAAACATTTTAGTTAGATATTTCTATGATATAATACATTTCAATAATAAAATCACACAAATCCTACATAAATGCTTTACATTAACTTGATGTGAGTAGGGATGAGAGTCGAAAACCAGGTGTCAGTAGAGAGAAGATTATTCTGATGTTGGTTGCTGTAATGTCACATATTTGTGTGATGACTTACTGCACACGCATTTTGATTTAGAAAATATTCAAAATGGCGGCGTAGTAGAATCGTCCTCATTTTACAAAAAGAGGACACCGGGGCCGACTGCAACATGTATAGTTTTAAACACATTAAAAGCGTGGAATACCTCCAACAGTTGAACACACATCATACGACCGATTTGTACAAAAGTAAAGTTGTTTGATATGTTGCGTAGCAGGCGGAGACTCTGATGAGGGGAGCTTCCAGCACTGAGTCTCCTGCTCTGCGTGTCCCTGGAAACGTTAAGCTCATCTACGTCCTGATTATTGTATTAACATCAGCATCACACTGTGTGAATAATATCGAAATAACAAAACTGCTTTTTATTTCCAAAATACAATTTTATCTGAGAAACAGGCCTCATGTGAGCAAATTCTTTCTTATTCAATATGACTGAATTTTTATGGTGATGCACCAATGACTGAAATGTTTTAATATCCAAAAATATACCTGTATTTCTCTTCTTTCAAATCCTTAAAAAAAACGGTTAAGGTCTTGTACTACATCTGTTGTCTTATCAACAAACATTGCTGGGTAGTTCGATAATATCTCTGATATTTATTTTATCAGACATGTTTGGATAGTTGTTCTGCAAATTCCATGAACTGAGATTAAAAAAAGATCATGCTAAGAGTTTAGCAATAGCTAGCATCAGTACATATTAACCAGATTCAAAATATTTACAGTCAATATATGACCACAGGTTAAAGGTCGACAGAGGAAAACACAAACAAAAGTAAACAATGGTAATGAATTTGTTCTCTGTAATAAGAAATACATGTTCTCACTGTTTATTTAAAATAAAAGGAATTTGTAAAATCTGAATAAAAATAATGAACTGGGAATGTATTTGCTTTTTTGACATTTTCATTTTTGAATCTTAAAAAGAATGACGAGATTGTTTAAGGTTCTTCAAAAGGCACTCAAATGTTCTCATACTTATATAAAAAAACAGAAAAAAAAGCCTAATTTCAACATAAACATAAGAAATGTACTATACAGAGGCTTGAATTTTTGTGTGATAAACACCAAATATTTGTTCATAGTTCATAAACGAGTAGATTTCTTTCCCCCTATTTTTTCCCTGAGACTTTTAGGAGAATATTTTCTAGGCTGTTGATACAAACTTGGAACGTTTTGAAGACAAGCATCATGTTAAGTCGGGCATTAAAACTAACAGACCCTTTTAGAAAAAACACAATATAATATCAGTCAATCGTATGGCAGCAGGGGCACAGGTTGTGCTTCAGGACATGGGTGTCTTGCTATAACTGATGGAAACTTGAATTCTCTCAAGCAGATAATCCTCAAGGATCATGTCTCTGCACTAGTTCATGCACACTTTTATCACCTGCAGGTAAAAGATCAGAAACACATTAAGGTGGTCAATGTGTGTCAAAAGTTTTTTTTCTGGTGTGAACTATGGGGACTAACAACCCGACTCAGGACTGATGACGTGTTAAACACACTGTCGACTTAGGACCAGTTTAATAGTACATAGGACTGAACACATCATTCCTGTTATGCAAGTAACAACGAACCTTCCTGTGGACGTGTGAGTGGCAGAAGCTCCTGACCTAATCAATAAGAAGGATCATTGACTGAGGCTGATTCAATTTGAGTTTACACAAACAGATGCAGAAGAATAAAACATCCTCACAGCTACGCAATACGTCCACCTGACTGCAATCGTCTGGTCAAGGCGTTTACAGTCATTTTTTAATATGCACAATCTCTTATATGAAGATGCAATGACACACTTCACCAGGACAACGCATATCAGAAAACAATTCTGGGTTATCTCCCTGGTGGAGTGCACTTTGGCTCTGAGAGCAACAAGTCAACACATTTACACTCCTATATAAACAGCTCAGGCCAGCGGTGCCTCCGACTTTGTTTTCTTTTTCTCATTTCTGCACAGGAAAACAGTGAGTACTGAACATTTTGCCACATTTCTGAAAAAAACAAAAAATGACATTACGGTAGACCAGTTAGTGTGTATTTATTTGAGTTTGGCTTGCATTTCAGAATATTCAAATAGGAACATATTCTATTTTTTAGTTACAAGATGGAAAACAATTAACATGTATTGTTACTGTATTATTGAAGCATGAGAAGCAACAGTGGGGAAATCTTAGATAATGTCTCACCCTAGTGGATAAAGAGGTGTAAGGTTTCAGTTTGTCTTTGCTGTCTCTCTGTTCACAGATCCAAAGCACCATGAATAAACTGCTGGTAGTTACTGTGCTGGTTGCACTTCTTGCTATCAGTAAGTGTATTTTTACTCGTATAAAAACACTGGCAGAAAATGATTTTAGTATACCAAAGTATATTATTCCACTGATAAAGTTAGAAAACTAAGTTGGGTTTCTGTGTTTTCGTGTTTTGCTTTGAAGTTTGTTTGTGTAAATGTAGCAAAGGACAAGTAAGCATTGATTAGAAATTACAAGATTGAATAAGTTACATTAAAATATTAAAATTTTTATTGGCATTATTGGCATTTTTATTGGCATTGTAGCTCAATTGAAAAATTGAGCTACAAATTTTAGTTTGGCAAAAAGAAAAAGAAAAATTGTGTTTATGTTGTTTTAGCATCATTTCTTGTATTATTTCCATTCTCACTGCATTTTTACAGTGTCACTCAGCTAGAATAAACCTGGTTAAAAAGCATAATGTGGCTTTGAAAATATTAGGAACTTATTCCACATTTTGTCATGCAACATTTTCCAACTTATGAAGAGGGTTGAATCCAAATGTAAATTGTCAGGCAATGTTCTAATTTGTGTTGGTCTATTCCATACAATTCTGACAAAATACACAAACGTAAGTACTTGTAATGTGACAAAATGTCCCATTACAATGTGACTAGGGCTAAGAATACTTCAGCAAGGCCAATGAAAATAGTTTCAAAAGTCAAAACCACTTCGGACCACTTCTCTTGCAGATGCCGAAAGCTTTCGTTTGAGAAGGCAAGTGGAGGAGGAGGAGGGAACGCTGAACAAGATCTCAGGCACTGTCAAGTCCTACTACAACAGCGCTGTGGACACCGTCAATGGATACGTGGACACCATCAAAGGCCTGAAACTCCAGGAGAAAGCACAGTAAGAATATGTCGGTGGCTTCATTGATAAAGCCTGAGCAGAAGTTCGGATTCAAAAACCAAATTGTTCCTTTTCCGTTTCTTTCGTCTTCAGGAATCTTTACACCGAAACCACTACAGTTGTGAGCACCTATGCCGGCATATTCCAAGACCAGCTTTACCATTTTTTTCACCAGTAGGACAAAAAAAATACAAATACATCGCACTGCTCATCCTGCACATGAAAGTGTCTACACATCATTCGACACCTTAATGTTTGGTTCTCATCACCAAATGGAGCCTCACAACTGAAATAGTTATAAAAAGCGCATTTGCTTTTTATAGTGCTTTTTAAACCACTGAACTGATGACAACACATATTGGAGACATCCTGACTTCACAACCTGCCTAGAGGAAATGGATGGCCAAATGTGGTGAGCACATGGGCACTCAATATCCTGCAGATAATCTCACGTCCACCTAGTTGTGTTGCATTCCTCTTAATTTACTTAAATCAGCCATTTCACCCCTTGATGAGTGTAATGTTTGTGTCATATCGTGAAATAAAGTATTTATACAAAAAAGGCATTTGCAATTTATTTACAGGAACAGACTGCCATGTTTTTGGACTCTACGCCTGTTTGTGTCTCCTTTAATCTCACAAAGTCCCACATTTCTGTGTTGATCAATTTTCAGTCACAAACAAGTCTTTTTTTTGTGACTGAAAATCAGAACCCATGTTTCTGCTCCAATTAATAATGAATGAAAAAATAAGTCAAATATGAATGTAGTGAAACTAACAGATGACTCAACAACAGATTATGAAGGCTGTTTCATCAGCGCAGACAACTACTGATGCAAGATGGTATTGATTTTTAATGAATGCTTCAATCTGCAAGACACAAACGCTTCTGAAGTTACACCACAACAAAAAAGCAAATGAGACAATAGAAAGTTTATTGCAATTTTAAATACCAAATAGTATTATTGATTGAGTTTTAGATGTGTATGGTGTTTTTTGTAGGCCTTCCTGTATTTTGGATACAAATCTATATTTTAATTTTCACACTTTAGTAAACACAATAGACAGGTTCAATCTAGTATGATGTCAATATTTCCATTTGTCTGAAAATTCTTTGGATTCTGTCTTTTGGGAAAGAATAGGGAATAGTACATTCTTTTACAGTTTCAGAAGTTTCAGGTTTTGCTTTTTTTAATTAGACCTTGAAAAGGCAGTTTTTTTTTTTATTTATTTATTCTGTTTTATTTTATTTGCTTGTTTTTTATTTTAATCCCAGGAGGACTTTTTATGCGCTTTATATGTTTGCATCTTTTATTTATTTTTATTCTATATTTACATTATACCTTTTTTGTTAGATGTCTTACTTTTACCAACTGTGTGAAATATCTATTTATTTATTTACTTATTTATTTAATCGTTGAGTATTTTATGCTGTGCTACAGATAATTTAATGCACAAATCCCTCCACCACATTAAGATGACTGGTTTTGCATTCAGACCCTGACCTCTTTTAGATAATTTTTTTGTCCAGTGTTACCTTTAATTGAATATATTGTATTTCATATGAACTTATCCTTCCATGCACCCTTGCTAGCAGCGAGGATGGGGAGCTTGGTTTCTCTTTTAAGTTCGACATTGGCTAAAAGAGCAGAGAACGCACAGCGCAAAACAGAATCTCCTAGAACGGACAACCTTACTTACACACATAAGCGCACTTCAAAGTGACCACTTAACCAAGCACACTTGTTTTTGGGAGGAAGACAAAGCACCGAGTGAGGACCCACTCTTGCACCGGAAATGTACAAAGTCTTGCAGAAAGATGTTGGAAAGTATTTAAACTCAGGGCCATCTTTCTGCAAGGCAACAATGCTAAAATCTCCATTTATTCAAAGGGGTTAAAGCAAAAGCAGGTAGTTATTCCTGTCCTTCTGTGGTTGTAGTGTGCCCCATTGTGGTACAGAAGAATATAAAACTTTATCATTATTGTTATTATTTAAATTATGGGCTTTATTTGAGCTCCAATAAAATGGAACACATAAATCTGAAAGGCATATGAAACACATATTTAACAGTTCATTAAAAATGTTTGTCTTTTTAACTCTTTTTGTTTCACAACTGCCAAATAAAATATTTTAAAAAATCTTTTTTTAAATTTAAAAATCATACATTTATTCTTGCAAAATCAGAAGTTTGTCAAGAAAGTTTACATAAACTTTGAGTCTCTAACTTTTTGCATTATTTGAAAATACAACCGTGGCCCAGGGCTATTGAGGTAATAAACACCGACCCGACTTTTACAGAAGGCACACACACAGATAACCTCCTGCACAGTGATGCTTCCCGACATTGACTGGTTTAATTGCTTTAAGGAAGAGAGAGTAGGAACGATAAGTTGACTTCTGGAAACAGGGTTTTGTAATTTACTGTGACTTGTTTTAGCCTTTGGATTAGCAGCCACCAACCTTTAGAACAGTCGGTCTCTCTTTACTCAAGCATATCACACTCTTAATCGCTTTAAGTCATTCATAAATGTTATTTTTGCATCTCAGAATATCATACAACGTATTATGACTATTAATATGGTGAAATATTAACTTTAGAAAAGAGACATATCAATCTTGACACAGCTCTTATCTTCTTTCTTATTACTTGATGGAGTTGCACAAAACCTTTGCTCATTTATCTAGGACACTAACATTGGGACAAAGGAACCATAAAGAAGGTGAAAATAGTCTGTACTCATCTTTATGCAATTCAAAAAGACATTTACTCACAAACTGATCAGATACAGCATTGGTGACTGGCTAAATGATCTGATTTATCTCCTGCACAACATCCTTCACGTTGGTTTGCACAATAGATGTATCTTCCCATGTAAATTATGTCACAATAAAATGTGTTACTCTCAAAGTTATATTGAAGTAATTTTACAAACTGATGGGAACCAGATCATTTCTAAGTCAAAACTAAGAAATTTCAAAGACAAACACAGGATTTATCCCATATACACATACTATTTATTACAAGTGTACCAAAAAAAAACAAGCTTGTCTTTGACTTTGTTCAAAAAGAAATAATATTTAAAAATATAGAAAACAAAATTTGATACATTGTGCCAGATTACAAAGCTTTCAGCAATTCACATTTACAGTCTTTGCTCCTGTCTCCTTGAGTTCTAGCATAACCTTTGTATGTCTGCAGTGGTTTGTTTAACACTGAATGGTGAACCAGCTTGTTTTTTGTATTTTTTTGCATTGTGTTATCATCGTCTCACCAATCCTCTCACAAGATACGCCATATCTTTTTGCTAACACATGGATTTTAAACAGACACCTGCAAAATCACACCTGCGCTAATATCTGTCCATGAACAGTTTCCGTCAAATCAGAGGTGGCCTGGGTCACTTGTTATCTGGGAAGAACAAATTATTCCCTTTAGATAAAGGGGACTGTCAAATCTCTTTACAGGAAATGATGCGTCGTTTAATATGTTGCCTAATAAAGGTGTTGTATATTACTCTGATAAGACACAAGGGTTCCAAGACTGACGGGGAAGTGACGTTGAATTTTAATAAGTATCCAGCTCCTCCCTAAAATAAATTACAGTTGTATTGTAGGCTTTGTCTCTCCATTGGAAGAAACTCAGAGAAACACAATGCATCTTCTCCTCCTGGCAGCTACCTTTGTGCTTGCAGGTAAACCTTTACAGGATGCTATAGAAAAATGCTAAGGCTTTACCCAATATTTATAGCTTCCTCTTGTTGTCATCGGTGCTTTGTAGGAGCCTACCCACTGGAAGACGTGAGAGAGTGCCAGCCTCACTCAAGGCCCTGGCATGTGAGCCTGCATGGTGGAGGAGTGTCATGCAGCGGAGCGCTCATTGACCCGTGGTGGATAGTGACTTCATTTGAGTGTGCACCTATGTAAGTGATGGCAACAAAACAAAAAGCTGTTTAGAAATAAATATTACATGGCTTTTGTTGTGAATAATGTTTAGTTTTTCAGTCATGTGCGTTGTTAGACCCGGAAAAGCTCAAACTGACTGTTTGGAAATCTCAGTTGGGTTCCAGCTTAATTGTAGACCATTATTCAACCTGTTGTTCATGTCTGTGTAAGACATTCTGTTTCTCTCTTATTGTCCTTTTTTCTGTCTGAGTTTGATCAATTATACGCCTCTCCTTGTTTCTTTGCAGAGCCTATCAGACCGTTGCGTCTCTTGGAGAACATGACTCAAGTGTGGAAGAAGGCACAGAGCAGCACATCTTAGTTTCTGATGCGATCCAACACAGCCCCTACCGCTCGCCTCTCCACAGCCTCACCATGGTGCGTCTGTCTGAACCTGCCAGTTTTAACCAGTATGTCAAACCAATCCCACTACCAACCCGCTGTCCAAAGCCCGGAGAAGTCTGCTCCATCAGCGGCTGGGGCTCCACAGAACCAGACCAGTGTAAGTGGATTTAAAGGCGGTAATGCTGATTTTGATCTTATTTTCTTAGCATTTAGGCAAGGATACAGCATCAAATGTAGGTTTGAGAAACTGACTGTATTAGCAGACCAAAGCTCTTTCAGCTCAAACCTGAATCGGGGTTACTCCTGAAGACCATCAAATAAAATGCATAAAACGTGAAGTTTATACATTTTAAAAACGTACAACAATATTGTATATTGTTCTATACAATATGTGTGTATAGAGCATATTGAAAAAGAAAAGTTGTTACAAAGTTTTGTTACAAAATCCTCAAACAAAAAAAGGTTGGAAATTACTAGTAAATTTCCAAATTGTGAATAAAAACCAATTCATTATAGTTTAACATTTTAAGATATCTTTAACATAAGGTATGTTAAACTATAATGACATAAAAACTTCAGTATTGCTTTTTATTTGATTTGTCTGAACAGAAAAAATGTTTTGTATATTTCTCAAAGTGTAATTTATTTCTTATCAAATTACTCAAAAATAATGAAACTGCCATTATATGTTATAAGAAAAACACACCGGAAAACTAATAATTAATGTAATACAGAATCAATTTTATAACTCATTACACATGTTTGTTTCCTAATGATCCAATGAGATAAAAAGGTAAGCAATGGTAGATGATTGGACAACAAAAAGTGTTGCTAATTTTACTGTGTTGATACAAGGAAAAAATTGTTTTCTGAAAAAAAAAGTTAAAATGTGTGTTTGATGATTAAAGACCTAAATTTTTAATAAAGTTTATATGTTTTCTGGGATGTAAAGGAATGGATTTCACAGCTTGATAAGAGTATTTTAAGGGGAAGAGTTATGTAGAAGAGAAGAAAGGAAAGATGGAATCAAAGTTTCAGAAACACCATAAATCTGG